AATCTCATTAAGAGGGATTAATCTTGGATTCAGTTTGGTGTTCTTACTTTAATAAGCTTGTAGGAAAACCAATAAAAACAAATAGGTACAAAGAAGAGTTAACACAAACAAGGGGTTAAAAACACATGTCCCCGAGGAATAAGTGATCACACTATTGTGGAGTCACTCAGCTTTGCTGGGAGATATGAGGTACCCCATGGATGCTGAGGGTCAAATGCCTGGAGTCTAGTCTGGACTCTGCTGACTTCCTATGTGACTGAAAAAGCCTTAACTCACAGTTTCTTCAGAGGGATAGTTAATGACATCTATTGTAAGAGTCAATATATTAGGTGGAATGTGATAATAAATATAAGATCACTTTGCAATAATGAAACAGTCTTTGTCCTGTAACATCTCCATATTACAATTACTAAAACAGGTCTTGGTCTATGCTGGGTATCTACCCAGCTGTACCTGGAGAAGTATGAAATATCTTTGTTTCAAATTTCAAGTAAATTTCTTAAACTGTATTTAAGAATCCATTTAAGTTTAGAATTGTATTAACTAAGCAAAAAGATTAGACAGCTATAAAAACTCTTCCATTAGACAACCTGTGAGCTATCATGTAAATGCAATAGAAAGTCATCAGTGCTGTGGTTACGATCTTGTTCCATTTGAAGGGAAGGCTAGTTGACTCTTGAAGACACAAAGAAGCAAAAGACTTTTTAGCAGTCCCCACAGAGGAACCATAAGCAGTCAAGTGGATTATAAATAAGGCGACTATTTAATTGATTAGGTAATTTGGGTCCCCTTTAAGAGCAAGGCAAGGGACTATGAATAATCACATAGATAAACAGCAAGGCTGAAAAGCCAGGACATAATGCTTCTTGGTTATGATTGGTTCCCACCCGGAGGTGAATGACTTCACAGTAAAATCACTAGCAATAAGATTTTCTGTGTCAGCCTTTCCACTTTGTTACATTGAGCAGATGTGAATAGTGGAAAGCTGTGGCAATCCCAGAAAGCTAGTGTGTGGTGAGCTGAAGGGGGTGACAGCAGGTGGGAGGAATACTGGAAAAGTCTCCGGATTTCTCTGAAGAGAAGCATCAAACACTCGGATGAACTGTTTTTTGCTGAGAGGCAGCAGAACCAGACACACCAGTCTGGAATGTCAAGTGCAGAGATGAGTGACTTCGAAGAAAAGCTTCAGGCCAAGGTCAAATCTGCCAAATGGAGTTGCAACAGCTTCGAGTTCTGCAAGCAAAGGCTATAGACATAAATCAAAGAGCACTCTCTCCAATGCTGACAGTGTGAAAACCACTGGCCACTTGTCATGGTGCTTCAGGGTCCTCAAACACAGCTTCACACATAGAGACTAATTCCTACCAGCCTGTGGTCTGAGGGTGATGGTGGCAAGGGAATGATTTTCCCGGGCACTGAATGGGGAGGGCTGTACACACACATGCCTGAATGTGGTGTGTAGGATGATGCGCTTCTCCCCACATAGGTTCACTTAAAATGTTCCCTTTGAGATGTTCCTTTGCATGATTTATATTATAGGCTTTGTTTCCAGCATATTCCCAGCACCTGGTTCTGTACACGGCAGCTCCATATTCCCGATAGGGTAAGAAATCTAACGATATTTTAGTAAGCAGCTTCCTGGGATGATAAATCAAAAGTCACAGTGTCGTATATTTTAGGATGATCCTAAATTCTGAAAGAGAAAGAAAACAGGAAGGAAGGGAGGGAGAGAGGGAGGAAGTGAGGGAGGAAGGAAGGGGAGGGAGGAAGAGAGGGAAGGAGGTAGGAAGGAAGAAAAGGAAGGAGGGAGGGAGAGAGGGAGGAAAGAAGGGAAGGAGGGAGGGAGAGAGGGAGGAAAGAAGGGAAGGAGGGAGGGAGAGAGGGAGGTAGGGAGGAAGGAAGACAGGAAGAAGGCAGACAGGCAGGAAGGAAAGAAGGAAGGAAGGAAGGAAGAAGGAAGGAAGGAAGGAAGGAAGAAGGAAGGAAGGAAGGAAGGAAGGGAGAAGGCAGGCTAACATTTCTCAGCAGACAGGGCAAGGGAACTGTGATTGGGCATACTGAGGAAGATGCTAAGAACAGAGCTGGCATGCTTTGGTCACATTACTTTTCTGAGCCTTGGGGAGTGTGAAGGATTGAGGGGGGAATGTCCCAGTGGCTAGGGTGGCCCTCTGTGAGTGTTGGACAGTTGGCTGTAGAATTAAAATATTACTGGTTCTTTTGATGGATCTGCTCTCTCTCAAGTAAAAGATTCCTTCCCCCCCCCCTTATAGATAGCTCTAGAAGGATGGAAATAGGGCTGGGAATACAGTTCAGAGTGCTTGCTTTGCTTGCATGCTGGAGGCCCTAGTTTCAATTTCAAAGACTGAAGAAAAACATCTAAGTTTTCATGTGATGGTAAGAAGCATACTTATATTTTGACAGCTATTTTCTTTTAAAATATGCAATCGCCACTAAAAGTAATGGTGTCAAGTTGACATTGGTTTCATGTTTTTAAAGAAAAGTAGAAATAAAGGGCCTAATACTTCTTTTTCATTGACTGTGAGTCCATTTGCATTATGTGTTATTCATTTATTGTATAAAGTTCTATGTTATTAATTCACAAAATAGTCCTGGAACTTCCATTATTCACTGAGGCTTCTGATAGAATGAATACATTTAAAAACAGTCATGTGATCATATTCATATAAGTAAATAACAGTAGACATAGAAGCCGGTACATTATTATTGCCAAGGTACTCATCCAGTCTTGAAAAAGTATTGTTTTTACAGCATAGGTTCCTTTTTCCTGTAAATACATAAAAAGGGGTTTTTTAAAAATTAGTTTTTTATTTCTGTCCAGACTACTCTTCCAGTGGAGAAATAGCCATTTTTGTTGACCACATTAATTTTATATTGACTCCATTCTGATAAAAGAATGGTGAGTACTCAACTATCAAATTCTCAAAGAATTTTATTTCCAGGAACAATAGTCTTTCTGAGTTCTGTTTGGTCCCTCTTGCAAATTACAAGTGCAAACATATGCCATTTTATGCTTTTTAGATTGTATTTCAAGCAAGTAGACTCCCGACCTTCAGGGGCACAGCCAATACCTCTCAATGTGCTTTTTGGCAATACACTGTCCTGCTGAGTAGGGGCAGACCCTCCAGGCTTCACTTTATCTGTCTGTTCCCCCAGTGGACACAATTAATGACTATTCCATAGTTGGAAGTTTAATTTTAGATTTAATGTTCCAAGCTTCCTTTTTTTTAAGAAAAAAATAATTTTTTTAATAATCTTTTATTTAGAGAGTAAGAGACCAATCTCAATTGATCACCTTGTATCCCACTAAAATGCTGCAATACTTAGGCCAGGCCCTAGCTAGCCAGCCTTGACTAACATTTTAAGAGATCATTACAAATCTGGGCTTTCTGGGGTACACAACCCAAGGTTGTCTCTTTGGTACAACTATAATTGCAACCAACTGCATAATGACATAATGTGAATTTTTATAGACACATCTCATTCTCCAGCCAGATTGCTCTCTGAACATGTGAGATAAGTCTTCACCCACTCCTCAGAAATGTTTAACATACAGGTTAATTTCTCACAATTGATTTTTCCCACTGTGCATCTCTGCAAGATCACTTGATGTCTTCAAATGATCTCAGTGACAGTTTAAAAGGGGCAGCTATCCAAACAAATCAGGAAAGATACCAAAGTAACCCTTTCTTGATTCTTAGCAGGGTAGTTTAACTGCATATTTTGATTGGGGTTTGAAGACAGAAAAAAAAAATCATGCACATTTTCAAGAAGAGGTATCATGTATTAGGCTTGTGGATGTTTCAGTATCTTGAGGGAAGCACGGGATTCATATCCAGACCGAGATGCCTAGTCTGGACTTCTCTGGGCTTTTGCTATTTATCTTTAAAAACAATAACAAGAAGCAAGCAAACAAACAAACAAGCAAAATTTAAAAAACAAAGACAACAATGAAAAGGGATTGCCTCTTCAGTATCTTTCTGCCCTGAACTTCAGTGAGCTCTACTCCAAATGTATAGATCGTCTTGACATATATATTCTTATTAATAAGGAAACTATATTAAAAATAGCAAAAACAAAGTTTGGACAGCCTGTACCCCAAACAACTAGAGCACAGAGAGCAGATGTAATTGTTTTCTGTCTAAAGACCTATCTTCATTCCTGAACAGTCTTCTCTCTTCCCATCATTATTGAACACAAGAAAATATTATTTTAAAGATTAAACATTCAATTGAGTTGATTTTGAAGTTATTTGTTTTTTTCACACCCCTGAAATATTGCCCATTAACAGAGAATGCTGTCAGAAGGGGTTTATTAATAGTAATTCCTTTCCTGGGCTTCCAAATAAAACAACAACATTGTTATTTTCAGCAATGGGGGCAAGGGGCTCCAAAACTAATAATATGAATAAAAGTTGCCAGATTAAACAGAATTGAAGTGAAGATTTATTTAAGACAGACTAAAAGAAATTACATGGACCCCACTCCAATGCCTTCTTCAATAAAGTTATGTCTGGACAAACATCAGGTTTTTTTTTTTTTAATTTAAAAATAATAGAAAAGTAAAAATAGATTTCCTAGAGAAATTTCCCCCTTAACTGTGTGTGTGTATGTATGTGTGTGTGAGAGAGTTATTTTGCTGCTTCTGTGAAAAACTGTTTTGGAGAGACTGTGTATTAGAATGGGTTTTTTGTTTGTTTTTGTTTTTAACTGGATTTGTCCAAGGACACTGAATTAGATCATCAGCTGACTTGTGGTACATGAACTCCTAACCATGATGCATAATTTAGACCTCGAAAGGAGAATGGCAAGTGTGAATGAGAGCATTTAATGTAAGTCTTAGATGCCATGTATCCTTGTTTAAAGAGAAGACAAAAGGAAACATGATGGTATGAGCGTTCTAAAATCATCTGCAGCACTTTAAAGGGTTAAACCCGCTTAACCCATTCTTAGTCAGAGAATGGCACCAAAGAGTACAGCTCACCCCTCAAGCTAGTTCTAGACCTGTGGTAGTCTCAGGTTGCCAGAGCAGTCATGCACTCTGTTTCCACCCCCCTCCCACCCGATTAGTAGGATCCATTCATAGCTACTCACTACTGCAGGATTTGACCTGAGAAATGCTAGGATCGATTAACTCAGCAGTCGTGGCGAACAGTCCCTAAATAATCTTAACCCTTGGCCAGCAAGGGAACTGCTAGTCCCGAGTTCTCAGCAGCAGCTGGTGAGGCTTTCAGCCAAGTTCTTCAGATGTGTGAGCTTCTCCCAGGCTTCTCCCAGACAGGCTAAGTGGACATGGCATTTATACATCTTTCAACCAGGCTTCCTGGATCTAGGAAATGTTATTCCTGACTCCTTTGACCCAGGTGCCCATGACAACACAGTACCCAATCTGTAGGTAATCACTCCTCTTTCTTTTCTAGGAGTTGGCATAATAGCTATTTTTTTCTAAAACAGTCATGTTGATGTGTTCAAAAATCCATTGCTGAGTCTCAGAGAGAGGATCACATCTGGCCATGAAAATCTTCTTCTCTGCAGGGTTGCAGTCCATGCAGCTGTTGGTCACAGGATGAAATAGTGTCTTGTCCTAGATGGGACAGAAAAAAGACAGACATAATATGTGGCCAATGCTACAGCCCAAAGTTTATATATGTAAAATATGCTTGTAATTGAGCATATACCGAGTCTAACTAAACCCACTCTCAAGCCAAAGTATATGAGATATCAAAGGATCCACAACTTCCAAGACCACTTAAGCTGAGACCAAAAAAAAAAAAAATCATTCATTTCCTGAAAAAGAGCCATTCACTCATTTCTAGCTTTGTAGTGAGCATTTTGCTACATGTTTAGCTGCTTGCAAGTAAGGATAAAGGACATCTAGTCATTTGCATAAAATATGATGCGTACACACACACATGCACTGTGTTGAGTGCACAGGAAGTAATAAACATATTCAACTAGAAGAGTGGAATTTTCCCTATCTCACATTGGTAATCTATTGAAAAAGATAAGAGAAATCCATGTTGAAATTGAAATGCCAGGTGCTAAGCTGCAGTCTTTGGAAGATGAATGAAGGGGTGGGGACAAGTGACTTGTGGGCAATAGGTGAGAGTAAAACGTCAGCTTTGTTAGTGCTTGAGGGTTAATGCCTTCGGCCCCTTCAGCCCCACATCCTGGATATTGCAGAAATGTAGATAGCATGGTTCTGATGACTTTTTGTAAACTGGAGGAGGTCCCATTAGCTTACAAGTCAGTTATGAGAGATACATTAAATCACCTAAGCCCTCGAGACAGTTCATAGCTCGGTGAATAAGTGTAAGTATCCAGCAAACTCCTTATCTGAGCACACCCCTTTTATTGTGTACCTGGGAAGAGAGGGAAACGCCAAAAGGAAACAAAATGCCTTTAGTATTAAACACTCACTTGAATGGTTTTATGGTTTTTCTTAAAAAGTATCAATAATTTGAGAAAAGGTCCCAAAATCACCACTTAGGTTCAACACTGAATAATGCTTTATTACTTAGCTTAGAGAGTGTTTGGAGGTTCTGGCTTTCTGGTTGCTTTCCTTCAAGGGAGGAACAGTTCTTTTAGGATTAAGATTTCTCAGCCACCCTTTGTAAACATTTATGGGTTCCTGACTTTTAGACTCAATCAAACCAATATTTAATGTCCTTGAAGGATCCGGATGTTTGCATGAAGGAAAGGAGAAATAAGGAAGGAGAAAGGCAACGTGTGGGCAATTTAGTTTAAATTTCTATTTTTAGTGTAAACAAAGGACTGTGCCTGACACAAAGGTTTCTTCTTCTACTCTTTAAAGTCAAAGTTTGGTGGATTTTCTGAACTTGAACTCAAAAGTCTCCTGAGGTCTCCTTACAATCCTTTCCAACTTCTTCACTAACTTCTCCACAGTCTGACTCTAGGGAAGGTTCTAGAGACTCTTCTCTTCTGCAGGGGAGATGGTACATACCAGGAAGATGGAAACTGTTCTTAGATCCCCACCACAGCCTTCAAGATCACTTGGGCTCCTGGCACAGAGATTCCTCCCAGTCACTGTGACTCCCTCTTCCCTTTGGCATATCTCATCACCCTTCACCCTCAATTTCCAGCATCTTAGCTATTAGGATGTAATATATTTTATTAGGTTTTCAAACAACCTTTGTGGTTTCAGTTTTTGTAGTGCTGGGAATCAAACCTGTTCAAACTATGGGCATTCTAGGCAAGTGTTGTACCACTGAATTATATTTCAAATTCCTTCAAATAGGATTCTTAACTGTTTTTTTCATTGTTGTTTTGTTTGTTTGTTTGTTTTACATTTATTTAGTGTAGTGTGTGTGTGTGCATGCCACAGAATTTATCTGCAGGTCAGAGGACAACGTGCAGGATTTGGTTTTCTCTGTCCACTATGTGGGCTCCAGGGAGGAAATTCAGGTTGTCAGAGTAGTAGCCAGTGCCTTTACCCAGTGAGCCCTCTCTTGGGCCCCTCACAGATCATTCTTAACATTCTTAACACTGTCACATTCAGGAAAATTCTGTGTGATCTGCTAAATTTGAATTTGCTCTATCTCATGTCCGTGTACCTCCTCCCAGTCTTTAATACCTGCATTTCTTCCTGCTTCCTTTACCAAGAGCTCAGGCAGACCTCCACACACCCCCTGGATTCTCCTTAAACATATGAATTTCCATGAAACCTAAAATCAGCAACCCTCCCACAAAAGAAACCGGTATGTTCCCTGAGTTCTTATCTTCATCAGTGCCAGCATGAACACCAAAGCAAACCAGGCTTCCTAACCGCCCTACTTTTCTGCCATAGGCAATCATAGTTTCCAAACCCCTTGTGGAAACACATGTTCTGACAAATACAGGTATGCTCATAGGTACAGCCAGGTAGGCTATACAAATTTAGCACAACTGGAACAATCCAAAATGTTTTTGATGCAAGTCTTTATAAGAGATAAAAGCAGGGACTCTTTGTAACTATCTACATTAGGGAAGGTGATATAAAATAAGATGGTGAAGTAAACACATCCCCAAAGTCTTTCCCTGTTATAAAATTGAATGAGTACTTTGTTCCAAAGTTTGCTTGTGATAGAGACAAATGACAGGGTGTTAAACTAGAAGCCCTCCCAGTGTCCAGTAGATCAACTGATTGTTCTCTGGCTACAGACTTAACTCTGTTCAACCTTGTGTGTGGAGTGCCCAGCGTGGCCGCAAAAATGAAACTTCTGGGAACATTTTCTGCCTGCAACAGAGTGTACCTTTGTCACTTTTGACTTTGGGGGTGACATAATTGCTATCTGTGGCCTTCTACTGGGTCAGACTTTTGGATTACTAAATGTCTTTATCGATGCATTTGCTAGCTGAAATTGTTAGCAGAGTGAGCAATCATTCATTGAGTAAGTCTTTTCTTCCGTGACAGCCCTCCTTTCCCCTACCCTTCATCCCATCGGCCATGGCTGTTACCAGAACAGCATCCCCCCTCCACATTGGCTTTTGAGTACGTGATGATCCATGTCCTGTCTTTGCTTTGTTCTTGGTCCAGTTCTGACAAGAGACATGGCATAGCCCTGCCTGTTCAGTGTCGTCTTTACTTCACCGTGTCTGAGAAAACTAGAAATCACTGAGCAGGAAATGTCTAAGGATGACTGAGCTCCCGGTGCTAACCAATCAATGCATGCAGATGAGCATGGGTGGGGCTTATTGGGTAGTTCTCTGAAAGCCACACGGCTTCACAGCTGGCCACAGACTTGACTGGCATCTCTGTGATACCTGGTGTGTTCTCACATTCAGACTGTGCTTTATCAGCTCCCATATTTACATGGAGTGTGAGCTTCGAAAGTACGAGTGAGCTCCTCCGAACATTCTAGCTTGGGCTTGGGGTCATGAAAGAACCGAACGCCAAAGACAAAAAGACAGTAAAACAGACACTGGCGTGCATGGCTCTCAGGAAGAAGATTCCCAGAACAAAACACGACACAACTGGAGGGGCAGTGTAGTCCTGGAAAAGGCCGGAGATTTGCCACTATGCAGGGAACTGGATAAATTCTAGTCATCCACTTACTCGCTGATGGCCTTTGGTAGGGCGCTAAGTTCTGTGGACCTTGGCTCACTTGCTTGCAAATGTAGATAAGGTTCCCAAGATTGTTATGGACGGATAAAATGTAGAATGACTGACTCCATGTTTCACATATAAGTAACTATGTAATAGCTTTTTCTTCTGCTGCTAATTTATTTTTAGTCAGAAAGCATCCCCTGTTCTGAAAATCAGAATGTACTAACCATCTGGTCTGAGATCAGCTAGCTATTCAATACCAAATTATATTTTGATGACATCCTGGTAAAACAGAGCTTGAAAAAAGCACCCTCTGACTCAATCAGTTGTCCACACTGAACAGTGCCCTCCAATTTGATCGAAAGGATTTAGGAAACAAAGGTAATCTAGGCCTAGCAAGGCAGCCTTGCTTCATAAGTACAGTGAGAGTTTTGGCTGCTCTCTAGCTTGAGAGATGGCTGTCCTTTCAGTTCCTGAGCTTTCCAGAAGACAGAATAATTGGACAGGTGGACCCTTTGAGTACATTATTTAGACAGGCCAATTGAGTCCAACAGATATTTATAAAGTACCCTTTATATTGTGGTTAGTGTCAAGAAAGAGGTGTACATAGGAAGATATCCTCTAACCCAAGAAATAGATGAGATCAATATGTATGGAATAAGCGTTTGAAGTAGAAAAATATTAGTAAAGTGTAATATAAATGAAGGAATAACGCATTTATGCATTTGAGCTATTTAAAAAATTAATGGGCAGATCCTGTATGGCAGGGACTCTAACAGACACACACACCTGTGTATGTATCACAGTGTGTGTGTGTGTGTGTGTGTGTGTGTGTGTGTGTGTGTGTGTGTCACAGTTTCTTTCCATCTTTTGACCAGGTACCCAGGCTGATTCTATCTTGTGGCTATTGTGGCCAGGGCCACAGTAAACATGCTGGTATAAGCTGACTTACTACCCCTTGGGTATATAACTAGCACAGCACACTTCAGCTAGATAATATGGTCTTTTGGTTTTAGGAGGATCCTCCTTACATAGTTCCACAGTAGATGGGCTAATTTGCATTCCTCCCAACAGCATCATATTGTTACCTTTGTTCTCACCAGCATTTGTTTTCCTGATGAGAGCCGTGTCGACTGGGATAAGAAAGAATCTCAATGTAGCTCTGATTTGCATTTCTCTGGTGGCTAAGGATCATCATTTATGGAAATTATTTCATAAATTTGTTGGAATTTGTACTTTGAGAAAAATCTCTTCAATTAATTTGCTGTTTATTGATTTGATTGTTGTTTGCTTTTTGGTGGTTTACTTTTTGAACCTTTCATATTTTCTAGATATTAATCTTTTATACATGAATAGCTAGCAGACTTTTTTCTCATTCTGTAGAACGTCTCTTTACTCTGACAACTGTTTCCTTTGCTGTGCAGAAGCTTTCTAATTTGATGCCATCCGTCAGTTCTTGCTAGTATATCCTGAGCTATTGGAGTCCTAGTCAGAAAGCTATTGCCAAAGTCTAAATCATTAAGTATTTTCTCTGTACT